GCTGCAAAAAGGATGTCAACAATTCCTCCTGGGATATCATCCTTTTATTTCTTTTGCTTAATTTGAAGTAGGATGCATATCAGAAGGGAAAATATAGAGCCACCAATGGCATTATGCTATACCATTGTTTTCAACCTTTGGAACTTTAAGATGCTTGAGAACTTAAAAATTCCAGAATTCCACAGCCAATATGCAGATTGGGGAAGTCTGGAAATTGAAATCCATGCATCTTAAATTCCCAAGGTTGTGATAGACTGTTCTAGAACCTTTTCTTGAATGAAGAAGGATGACAGGAAAGCAAACATCACATTTACTTCAAAAACAAGGCATTTGTTTACAAGCAAGGGGTTGGGACATGGCCAAATCTTTCCTTGTCAAAATGTGTTTCAAGGCAGATTCTGATGGGAATAGAACTCCCAAGCATCCCTGGCAATTATATTTACTGGCATCTTCTTGCTATGTGCCTCCTCCGAATTTTTTGATGCACATTCTTCTTTCAATCTACTTAAAATATTCTTCCCCTGTGAAAATAGGTGCCATTTTCAAAGTGAAACTACTATTTGGAAATAGGTTTTCAATTTGACTTTGCTTTTTGAACTTCCTTTTAAGCCCTACATGGCTTGTAGACATGAAAGGCTGTTCTTGACATTGCATTGTCTGAGGACAGGCTCACTGCAGTTCCTGCAGGATTATGAGAATGATCAGGGCTGCTGCCTCAAGAGGCCATTACTTCTTTTCTTTTCCTTTTTTTTACTTCTTTGCTTTTTAATTAATCTGCTTTTTAAATGAAGTAAATAGCAGAATAGAAGGCGAGAAGGAGGGAGGAAGGAAAGAAGGAAGGAAAAGGAAATGTTTTCCAACTAAACCTTCCACAGCTCCTGCCTCACCCTATCCCAATCCTGTCTCAGACCCTCTCTTCTCTCCCCTCCCCTTTTGATATTTTCCTTCTCTTTTCTGATAATTACATAATAAATGTACTATATAATAAATTTGAGGAGAACTACCATATTTTTCTTTTGGACAATAAACTTTTATTATAAATCACAACCTATATTTTGATCCTTAATATACCTTTTTGCCTGCAGTTTCTCACTTCATTAGCAAGAAATTCCACAAATCTGTTTAATAACTTTGAAATTATGTGTCCTATTTAATTTAATATTATCTATGGGAGTCATGCTGCTATTTTGATAGTGTTTTGAAATATCTCTTCTGAAGTTTGATGAAGACAATAATATACAGGCCTGGGGGCATCATTAACAGTTTTTAAAGAGGAAGAATAGAAAGATAAAACTGAATATACTTGAAGATAAGTGATCATATCAATTGAAAGATGCAATATGTTGCAACTGTCTTAGGGGAAAAAAACAAATATAAAGTAATATATTCAAGAAATGTAGATGTAGGAGCCAGTTTGGTTTAGTGGTAAGGCACCAGGCTAGAAACTGGCAGAGGCATAAAAGCTGACTGGATGACTTTGGGCCAGTCACTCTTTCTCAGCCCAACCCACCTCATAGGGTTGTTGTGAGGAAAATAGGAGAACACATTAGCTGTGTTCACTACTTTGAATTATTTATAAAAATAATGAAGACAGGATAAAATGAACTAAATGATTATAATATCAGCCAAATATTGATGGGCATTAATATTTTAAGTTTCTCTGGTGGTTATGTTTTGACGCATTGTTTGAAAATAATGTATCAAAATATGTCACTCTGATATAAGTGCTGGTAGGATGATGATGGTTTGGTCTTTTAGGTTTCTGAGGGGTGCTATGTTTTCTGCTTTGAGTTGGTTCTGTTTCTGTTCTGTTTCAGAGAAACTATCATCATCCTATCTATAGACAAAGGCCAAACCATGGTTATGATGGACAGATCACAATATATACAAAAAGCCAAAGAATTATTGGAAGACAAAGAAACCTACATCCCAGTTACAATCAGTCCAATACAGAAATAGACCACTGGATCAAGAGATCCCTTAGTGACCTTACAAGAAAGGTCAAATCACAAAAAAAAAACCCAATGAAAAGCAGTGGATCCATTCTCCTGCACTTCTATGAATGCCCCAAAGTCTCTGTGCAATTTTCTCATTATCAGGGACCCCAACCTACAACATAGCTAAATACCTGACAAAAAAATGTTGGGCAATATTCTCCCAACTCCCACCCTGCCTCAAAGGAATCAGAGAATTGATAGCAGAAGATAAGATCTTCATTTCATTTGATGTCACAACACTTGTTACATCCATGGTCCCAAAATTAGTGAAAAAATCCATGGTAGTACTACTAAACCACACATCTGATCTAAACAAATAGTAAAAATGAAATACCCAGAATCATGGGTAGCCGTACTGCCTACTTTCAGTTTGACAAATATACCAACAAATCACCACTTTCAGGAGTCATAGCATAATGTAATGCAACGTCTAGAAACTATAGCATTCCCATACATACAACCCTAGTATGGATCTGGTATGTAAATGGCACCTTTGTCATAATGAAAAAGGAACTAGAGTAGATATATGAAACAGTCAACAACAAGCAGACATTAAAACCAGGATTAATTCCAGACCAACAGTGAAGCAGTAAACAGTAGCCTAATCAAGGAACTACAAAGAACATTCCACCAACACTGACAGAGCAAGCCACTTGTATATAAACAGGGAGCAAACCCCACTTCCTTCTTGGTACCTGGTTGGATACTACAAGTCAACAAACTCAACTCTAAGGTCCCACAGATTATAACCTTTTAAAAAGTACATATTCTTCATCATTAGTCAGATTATCTCTTCATATAAAATCTAAGAGATTGTACATTGCAAAAATAAATCCATCATATTTGATAGTAATCTTGCTAACAACTAATACTTCCTAAACAATAAAATGGAAACACCTTCATTGGAATAATAGAGTGCTCAACAAGGCACTTATGTGAAGTGAAACCAGGCAGAACTTTGCATTTCCTTTGCACCATCCATATTTCCTAAATAGCACTTTAATGCAAGATAGACAGTGCAATTTGATGGCTCCATAGATGTGACAAACAGGTTTGCTGAATAGTGGACCAACATGATAGAGCCGAATTACACCCTCCTATTGGAATGAGAATAAAATGTGTCCTTGTATATAAGTGGTGGGGAAGGTGTGCTTGCATCAGCTCCTATAGATGATGACCTCAGCTAAGCAGAGCATGAGACTGAGCTATAAAGCATAAAGATATATACTCAGAATGACACCAAGGAAGCAAATACTGTGCATTGTTAGTATCCAGTATTCTTGGGATTTTTTTTACTTTTAACTTTATAAGTCATTACTTTTTTAAAAGCTAAGAACATTAGCAAATGTGTTTAATGTGCATATTGTTTTAGAGCTAAGATTATCTTGTAATTACTTTACCATTATAAAAAAGCTCTCACACACAAGCTCTCTATTCACACACATTTTAATGCCATGAATTTTATTTGAATGTTTCCCAAATAGCTTGTCTCAAAGCTTCCATTTGGTTCTAGAAGAGGAACCAACCTAAAAAGGTCACAGAAAAGGTTCACATATCTCTGTGCGACTTGAATTAAGAAACAGTGGCTGTTTCCCCCATTAATCTGATTGAAAGGATTTGCATAGAGGGATACTAGTTGGTCTGATTTGAAAGTTATGGAGGGTAAGAGCTTCAGTGATTAATAGAAATTTTTAGTATTGGGAACAGTACCTTTAGAATATCAGTTGATATAATTAAAGTCTACAAATATTGTACATTAGTCAGAGTACAACAAAGAAGTTGGAAAGTGATATTTATCTATAGGATTTTTAGTAATTTTATTTGCCTTTATTCTCTTTTTTCTCTCTTTGTTTCTTTATGGCTAATTTCTAATAAGTGTTGTTCCAATTATACAACTTTGAGAATGCCTTTATTTACTTATAGATAATATTTATATATCTATATATAATATAGGATAATATAGAATATAGAACAATATTATTTTTTGCTTTCTCTTTTTGCTTGCTAGTTCTCTCTCTCTCTTCATTTTAAAAGTGATTAATAAATAAATAAACAAAAAACAGTGCAGTTATTATCCTACTTTTGAATATCCCCTAAGTATCTAGTTGTGGGAACAGATTGCTGGACCAGGTAAGTCTTTGATCCCTTGTAGCAGCATTCTGGTATATATGCATTTTTTACATTTATTTTATTGTCTTGTGGGTGACCCAACAGTTGGATCACCTTTGTGACAACTTCCTTACTGACAAGAATTACTGTGATCAGAAGCTTTAGACATATTTTAAGGTAAATGAAAAGTATAAAACAAAGATAACTTTTAATAATAGATTTGATACTTCGAGTTAAGCAGGAGGAACTTAGAAAAGTGAGGAGATATTCCCCATTCTTAACTTTTAGTAGTAAGGACCTCTGCAGAAAAAGTGAAAAGAAAGAAGTTGGTTATTTTAATTGAGATTGGCAGTGTAGAAACTGAATGAATGAATGAACAAACAAATAAATGAACAAACGAATGAATGAATGAACATATCTCCCCTAAAGAATCTCCAAATTAATTAATAAAGTTGTATTTCTTATTCAGACAGCCTTATTGCATTGTATCTTTTTTCACAGATTTGGAGGTAAAATAATATTTATATTTTGCAAAACTGCTTATCTTTTCATTATTCCTGGTTTATTCTCTTTGTCTGTTTTCTGTTTTCTTGTACAGTGTGTATAATTAATCTCTTTAAAATGCAATACACAATTTCAAATAAATTATTTTCACTGTTCTATTTCTGTGACATATGCAGCCATGTAGTTAATGAATTTTGGAAACAGCCTTTTTAGTGAGCAGACAGCTTTTGTCTTTGCCTTACTTACTTTTTTTTTCACCCAGAGGGGAAAAAAGTCACATCAGTTCTGAATTCCAATGTAACCTTTTAAATATACTGTAAGTTTCTTTTGAGAGGAAAAATGTTAAATCAGATTTGGTCCAAACTGTGTTAATGAAAAAAAAAAAGTGAAATGATGCATTTTTGTAACCTAATTGTAAAAAAGTAAAATAGATGTAGCTATACAACTATAAGCCCATACTGCCATCTAGTGATTTCAGAACAATTTAATGAAGTTAGGTTTGTGTTTTTTTTTTAAACAAAGTGGTATTACCATTCTAGATATAACCAACATCTTATTTTTGTTTTATTATTAAAACTCTGCATTTTTGGTGTTATTTTCTTTCAGATATTGTACTTAATCTACTGTATTATACATATATATGTGAATTTATTTTCCTTCTCCAAATATATCCATAGGGTTCTACACTTTTATTTTTCCTGTATAGCATGAGGAGCAAAATGGCAATGATCCAATCAGTGCACTTTCAACATTGAAACATGAATTAGACTTTTTAATGTGATGCAGCTAATACAGTCCACATGAACGACACCATTCATTAATAATTTGGTAAAGCATGATGTTTTAATTGAAGCAAAACCTCTTAGAGTACTATTGAGTTGTAGAACTTTACTTGTGCTCTGAAATTATTTGCAATGCATAAGAGTAGATTCAAAGCACTTTAGCTTAAATCATTAAAGCAGCCATATACTTGTTCCAGGCTCATGTTTTTATGTTTTAAAAAGTTCTCCCAATGTCATTTGTATTATACAGCATTTATTTTAAAGCATCAACCATCCAAATGGGTTATTTGGACCCTAATGAGATTTTTAAAGCATTAATAAAGTTACTAATAAATGTTATTTTTAAGAAAGAGGAAGGTTATTGAGCCATCATGGCACAGTGGTTAGAATGCAGTATTGCATTTCTGCTGCCTGCCAGCTGCCTGCAATTTGGCAGTTCAAATCTCACCAGGCTCAAGGTTGATTCAGCCTTCTATCCTTCCAAGGTCAGTCAAATGAGGACCCAGATTGTTGGGGGCAATATGCTGACTGTGTAAACTGCTTAGAGAGGGCTATAAAACACTGTGAAGTGGTATGTAAGTCTAAGTGTCAGTGCTATTATTACAACTTCATTGCAGAAAAATCAAAATATGTCAATTATTTTATTCACTTCCTTGATAATTTCCTTTAATGGATATATTGTTTCCTTCCTATGTAATTTGACCAAATTATCTAACTGCTCTGTGTGTCAAACTAGCAGGCTGCAAAGGTTGTTTTCCATTTAAACAGACAAGTTATAATACCAATTTTTAAAAGTTTAAATTCTGTGTAACATTTAATCTGCCCCAAATTATAGTGTTCTATGAAAAAATGAACATAAATTGTTTTAGATTAGTTTTCATGATGATTGTGTAGAAATTCCAGTGAATTGCTTCCACATCTGCAGTATTGTATTCAGTGATGGGATTCAGCCAGTTCGCACCACTTTGGGAGAACCGGTTGTTAACTTTCTGAGCAGTTTGCTGAACTAATTGTTGGAAGAAATCATTAGGGCAGAGAACCAGTTGTTAAATTATTTGAATCCCACCACTGACTGTATTCCTTAGTGTATTCCTTATTTTATCCAAGATAGTAAATGCAACCGATACATCAATTTTAGCCAAAAAATTTAAAAGGTCAGTTAAAATGGCTAGAAACAGATTTTTAAAAGCAACCAGGTTAAAACAAAAACCCCTACCAAGCCATTTCAAGATTGTGAGTATTATGAAATAACAACACCTGAAAATGAATTTAATATATTTTTTGTTTAAACATGTAACCAAAAAAGCAAATTTCCAGCAATAGCAAAATGCTCCAGCCGAAGAATAGAATAGAATAGAATAGAATAGAATAGAATAGAATAGAATAGAATAGA